TTGGCTTCTGATTTTGATTCTGGCCACCTGACCAAATACAGTTAGAAAGAACCTATTGTAGCATTTCCACAATGTCTGCAGGCCAGGTACAGAGAAGACATTCAAGTGTCTAAGGTCTGCTGGTGGTTAAATGAATACTTATCGATGATGCAGCACTGTATAGAGGCAGAGGCACTCTGCTGGTTGCCTGTGGCCCTGGGTCGGGTCTTGCCTTGAAGTCTAACTGGTTGTGTAATTCTGAGAGATTTTTCTCACCTGAGGAAATCTTTTGTTTCCACCTGTCATTTTTGTTTAATAGTGATACCTTGTCATCTTCAAGATTTTGGAATCAAGAAGGGTGACTAGTGACCTCAAAATGGAAAGAGAGTATGATCAGCTGACCAGTGATGCAAAAGCAACTCTTTCTCCAGGACCTTGCTAAGACATGCGTGGTGCAGGCTGGATCTAGAATTTTGCATTTGAAATGCGACCGAGCTAGACTTGTCCCTCGGTGTAGGCTCTAGAGCGATTTGCCTTATTTGGTTGTTCTGAGACATTCTAATTCTGGAGGGGTCACTGGTCCCTTCTAGAAGAAGGCCGATCTCTAAATGGCGACCTTTGCTTATTTGAATCTTAAAGTTACAGCTTGAGTAACAATTAGAGTGGCTTCTCATTTTTCTCTCTAAATTCAGGGAGCACTTTTTCCCTCTGTTATCTAGATCTTCCTTTTCCTATTGCGATCTCAAGGACTCTGCCCCCAAAGCAGGTGCAAAGTGCTATCGCCCCCTTTTTCTCCCTCTGATGTATGAGGTCTAGAAAAAGTTATGCTTGTTAAATGTAAGCTTTCTTAGCTGAGGGCTGTTTTTTTTAGTTCCTCTTAAGCCCATTGCATAACAATCTCTCGTTTTAACCTTTTGCCAAATTGTACACTTCTCATTGTTGGAGGTTACTACTGGTGTTTGGACAGGTAACTTCTACCTTTGAACCTCCATTGCAACAGGTTCAAAGGTTCCAGGGGGAGCTTGTTGGCCACGTTCGGGACAGTACACATTGGCTTCAGGTGTGGCCCCACCCCAAGAGCTGTGGAAAAGGGAGAGGTGCCTGACTGGTGCTGAGCCAGTGCGGCCAGCTGTGCGGGCTGCCCTTCCAGCGCCCAGGAAGTGAGAGTATTCTTACAAGGTAAGCTGCAATAAGGCTGCCTGCTCTAGAGTTTACATATGTATGGGAGAGCTGAGGTGGCAGTGGTTGCAGGGAGGAAGGTGGGACATGTATATATTCTTAGCCTGAGTCTCGTTCACAACATGAAATGATATTTGGTTGAGTCGTAATCTCAGCTGACATACATGGGAGCCAAAGGAAAACAGAAAATCAGTTGGAAACCGGTGGAGACATCCGAACACTCTGAATGCTGACGGGGGATAGACTGGGAAGAGAAAGTTGTTAATTTTACTAAATGTGACCAAAACAGACTTAAAACCTTTCAGGGTTATAGACAAAGCCAAGATGTGGGTCTCCTTCATCTTCCATTCAGAGATTTCTGTATCAGTACGGTTCGAAAGGGCGTTCGTCAGCTGTAAGAGGTAGCTATTCCCATGGAGAAAGATGAGGGGAAGGGAGATCTTAGCAGACACTCTACTAGGAGCTGGGGTCTCTACTAGGTGTGCGGCATGAGTTATTTTAGGGGCTCACCACCTCCTGTAAGGTAGCTGGTGTCTCTCCACAAATAAATAATGTATCTCCGGGCTTCAGCAGAATGGTCTGGGCTCCCTAACTAAGAGGTGGCATGGCAAGGAGTCAATTCCTAATCTATCTTTTACAACAGGCTGTTGCATGATGCAGAATTCTTGTGTGTTGCCAAATCTTCCATTATTCTCTCAAGTCTTGGGTCTGTCATTCATGTGCACATAGGATTGGATAGGAATACAAGTCTGCTAGAACTTTAGAAGGTCCCAGAATCTTCTGAATTTGAGCATTTAGTCCTGGAGGAAATTAGTGAAAAAAAAAAGAAAGGCTTCTCTTCTCCTGGCCCTGAGCTTTTCATGCGGTTGGTAAAAGAAGGCAGCACCCCGGCGAAGAGCCTGGTGGCATTAGAGTGGCTGAGACTTGTCGCCCATTCTGACATCCTCTGCTCTCTGCTGGAGGAAGCTTCCTCTTGGGGAGATGAGCTGCTGAAATTAAGCAAAGCCAAATGCACCTCCAACCATGAGATGCCCCAGAGGATGGAAAGGCAGGGGCACTACCCTCACCTTTCTGCGTTTCATCTTTCTCCCGTGTCTGAAGTGGGCTCCCATGAGGCCAAGGGACCGGCCCATTTTCTCCAAGATTGTGGCACAGCTCACCCTGGCCTTTTTAGTTGGACTCTTTTAAGCCCTCCTCTCTGTAGAGAGAAGGAATTCTGATCTAGCTCTAGTAAAGAGCCGGCTGGGGAAAGTGCTGCTTAAGGCTGGGCTGTCAGTGGGATCCTAGGGAGGGGTGTGGGGCGGGAAAGGGCAGAACTTTTTATTTCTGCTTCCAAATCTAAGGACAGCCACAGCCTTAGGTGAATCCCATGAGACTACTCCAGGTCCTGACAGCGTGTAGACCAATCCTCACGACCCTTTCGGGGGCTCCGCACGTTCAAAATTCTTTTAAAATAATGAAAATTTATTTGCTTTTTCTACTGTCATTGTCTCGTGTGCGAGCAGTGGAGTTTTCCAGAAGCTAAAAGATGTGGGGTCGATGTGACAGCTGATGGCTTGTGTAGTGTTAGGATATAAAATTTCCCCAGTTTCAATTTGGGAGGTGAGGGAAGCAGCCAAATGTATTTTTCATTTAAAGTCTGAGATATGAAAAGGATGAGCTCGGTTGTCAGAGGAAAAGAAAAAAGACTCTCCTGTCCCCGTCCCCGTCCCTGCCTTTCCTGACCTGATTGTTTTGTTGGCTTTATCAGAACTTCCGGGACTGAGGCAGGTATGCCGGGATTGGAGACGGGGTGACAGGGTGAGGGGCTGGGCCGTCCTCCGGGTGCTCCAGGGGTCTCGGGAGGAATGTGAGGGCTGAAGTGCCTCTGGCTGGACCTTCCTGTCCTGGGATTCGAGCGCGGGAGCAGAGCCACTTCTCTGACACTGGTAGTCGGGGTGGGGGGGGCACCTCCTGTCATTTATTCTTTTGTTTTTCTTTGTTAGGAGACAGTTAAAGGGGAAAAGGGTGAAGTGTATGGCTGTTGTTTCAGCCCTTAGGGGCTGGGGTTAAAGTGTTTGCAAACCAGCCAGGGTAGTTTGGGCAGCTTTCTTCCTCCTGGTCAGATACTTCCACTTTCAGTTGTGAAAGAAAAACCAGGAAGTGAAGTCCCCGAGCACGTTAGGAAGCCCGGCCACGGCCTGACTCCGGACAGGGCGGACGGGGTGCTCTGAGCTGTGGCCATCTGCCCGCATGAATGTTCTGAAGCCATCCTGTCCCTGGAGAAAACAGGGGTGAGGAGGAAGAACAGGGACTCGTGTGCCAGGAAGAACTCGGAGCCAGGAAGCCCCATTTGCTGGAAACACCAAGAGATGTGGCCCCCCTCACAGGGTAAGGGGACCAGGTAGAGGGCAGGACAGGGCGGCATTTCACCAGGGCTCTTGTGAGCACGGGGCAGAGGCCAAGTGGGTACGCTGAGCCCCAGCTTCCGCGAATCTAGAGTTTGCTGTGTCCCAAGCACGTGTCAGCACTTTCTCTGCCAGGTGTCTAAGGCACATCTTTAAAGCCTCCTTTTCAGGAGGGGCGAATACGAGGAGGAATGGGAGGCACAGATCGCATTTTCTTTCTCCTGCCTCTCTTGGGGGAGGTGAACCACAACTGAGACTTGTTTTTCTGGGCTCCGGCATCTGCCACTGCTTCCCTGAGGGCTGGGGGACCCCTTAGTTTTCACGGTGGACTTTGACTGCTTCCTGGGGTAAGAGCTGATGAATGGAATAACTGGTGAGACGGTTTGTGGTGAAGTTGGCTCTGTTTCCAGGGCTGGAGCCACAGGTTGAATCTAAGGTGAACTTCAGGGACATTCAAGGAGTGAGCGTTGGGAAGGGTCTCCACCGGGACTTGCCAGCTTCTGCGGACAACAACCTTTCTCGTGGTTTGAACAGCGGGACTGAATCTATAGATTCAACATGTAGGTGATTGGTCGTCTCTAACAGAGGCAGTCTTTAAAAATAATAAAATGAGACGAGACTAAATTTAATCTAGCTTCATTTTAAAATAAGATTGGTTTAGTTAGAAAAAAAAAAATAGAATAATCGCTTTTGCTTGATATCCCTGTCTCTGTATTCCAGCACAGGACTTACTCTCTGCTGTTTCCCTCTAATTCACAAGTATGAGCTTGAGCATAGAATAAACTTGGAAGACATGGTGTAAAATTTTGCAAGCATCACTGTGTGCTTAGTACAATAAAAGGAACAAATCCTAAATAAAATAAGAGTCACAAATGCTCATAGAACAGGCGGATAACAGAGCTATGTAAAGTAGATGGTATATAAAAATATGTAGGTGGTGGGGACTCTGGCAAAATGTAAGGCAGGGGTACCCCAGAAAAACACATTTCTTTCTTTCTATCTATCTGTCTGTCTGTCTGTCTATCTATCTATTTACAAACAGTATCCAGACCAAAGAGAATGTTTCAGCCAAGTATTTGGCTAGGTTCTGACCTAAAATGGTCTTCTCTCTCAGGTTGTATTCTAACTCTTTGAGGACAAAGATATCTACCAAAAACAAACGAACAAAAAAACCATGTATTGTTTAGGGCCTAATTGCTAAATATACAGTAAGGGCCATAGATTCTACAGGAAGTGTGGGGGTCAGGGAAGGAGAGAGGGCTGGGGAATGGGTGGAGAGAGGGAAGATGAAGCCAGTTAAGCACCAGGTCATTAGTAGATACATTTATATTTGATTAAGACAACCTTATGAGTTGGATGGTTTCACCATTTTGTGGTTGAGAGAATAGGCTCAGAGAGGTAAAGCAATTTTCCCGAGATCACAAAGCAGCCAACTGTCAAACTGGGACTGAAGCTACAGTCAGTGTGATGCTAAAAACATGCTCCATCCATTTATGTGTAGAATTAGCCTTTCTTCAGATTTCCTAGAAAATTTCATTTGTAAAAAGATTTTCATGTATGATGCAGATATAGAGTTCACATGTTTATTAGATATTTTTCAGGTTGACATTTTTATAGAACAGCAAATATTACAGCTACTGTTCATTAAATATTCTCTATGAGGCAGCTCTGTGCTTACTGTTTTATGGGGCTTTTCTCTTTTGATATTCAAAACAGTTCTGTGAGGTAGGTACTTTGTTTCATAGATGGGGAAACCAAGGCTTAGAAATAAAGAAACTGGACACAGTATGAAGAGATCGAACTTTGACTCATCGAGTTCCATTTCCAATGAATAGTTGGGTGCATGGGCCAGCGAATTCGAAGCTGAGAGAAATTCTCCTGTGAAAATCCTCCCCCTTCAAATCCATAGAGACAAAGTAGACTGATAGTTGCCAGGGACTGGGAAGGAAGGGGAATGGGGTGTCGCCCTCACTGCTTCATGGGTCAGGGCTTCCTCTGGGGGAGGGAAGAGCTTAGGAGCGCGATGGAAGTAGTGGTTGCACAACGCCGTGGATGGACCAAGTGCCACTGAATCGTTCGCTGTAAAATGGTTAATTTCGTGTTACGTGAATTGCACCTCAAACGAGGAAATCCTCCCACGTCTAGGCAGGATTTGATGATATTTTAGAAACCAGGAATGAAGTTTCTGCTCCTGTCCTTCTAAGAGGCCTGGCCAGCAGAAGCACTGACCATCCTTTGGGGTGCGGCCTGAAGTGACTTTTGTGCCGCATCCCGGCAGCATCCTGCAAGGGTGCCATGTCCCCAGCAGCCCGGAGTTCGGCCATCATTGCTTTTGTCACACTCTTCTGTAAACTGTTCTGGGTCTGTTTCTCCCCTATGGGGGTCTGCGTCCTGAGGTCACGCATGGAGTCTTGTCACTCACTCTTCCTCCTGGTACAGGGCCTGATATCTTCCAGGCTCTTAATTCATGTTGTTTGAATAAATGCACGAGTTTTGGAAGGTCAGGCGGCCCTCGTACTGCTCTGGCCAGGCCATGGTACCATCACTCCTCGGGGAAGTTGGTAGTAGATCTCTGGGTTTCCATGTGTCATTCTATTGCAAGAGTTATGAGGTTGTGAGGGGCCTGTGACAGGAGTGGCAGGGGAGGCTGGGGGAGATGGCTAGGCCAGAGCTCAGAGGTGTGCCATGTCCTCCCCGACTAGAAATCCTCTGTTTAAATAAGAAAGAGAAGTTGTGAAGACCTTCGCATGTAAGTTGAAGGGCAGTTATGGTATGAAGACCATGATCACCTCTTCTCATTTGGAACATCTCAAAATAGAACATCTGATATTGACAAAGACTTAGAAATTGAGGTAAGTAGAAGAGAAGAAAGGGAGCTAGTCTGCCGAGGACCTCTCCTGTACCCCCATGTACCAGAAGGTCCACCCACAGGGTGTCCTTGAAGCAGGGATTATCTCCTGCCTCTTCTTATGTGCAATTGAGGGAAACATGCTCAGAGACACTAAGTAAGTGTCCCTTGGCTCACACATCTAGTAAGTGCTAGTCTGTTGCTCTGGTACTTGGAAAGGAAATGGCCTTGAAAGTTTGCCCTTAGAAATGATAGAATTGGCAATAAAGTTTTTTGTTGGCAATTTGAATCTGGTGACCCCTGACCATTGCTGAACCAAGTAATGCAAGAGCTGATTCTGCAGATAGCCCAGGTGGGGATGACTCTTCCTCAACCTCTTGCATCACCCTGTCTATCCTGGCATGGATGACAGGGACCTGGCACTTTGTCCAGCCTATCTTTCTACAGGCACTCTTATCAAATCCAGTGAACTTCTGATACTGGTATTCCTGACCTCGGTCCTCTGATCATTCACTTGGTCAGCAACAGGCTTAGGAAGGTTTGGGGAGTGCTGCTGAACTGTGATTTCTTGGAAGCATAGCAGTAGATCAAGGTTGACTCTGTTGATCTGTGATCCAGTTGGATCTGTCACTGCCTGTCACCAGCCTGTCTATGAGTGGCTCAATGGCTAGCCAATGCTGTCTTCATGGACTGAGTTATTTGACCTAATGAGGGCTTTCCTGTTAAATACCACTCAGTTCACCTGGCCAAGGCCTGGCCCCCCAAGGTGCTCTGGTGTTTGTGAAATGAAAGGACTCCAGTGGTGTCGTGTCTACACCAGGCCCCAGACACTATTTCATGCAGACTTCTTGAAGGCTTTTTTCCATTTTTCCCCCCTTTCAACTAAAGATGGATCCTCTTCCTCCACCAGAAACACTTCTTCACCATTTCCTTCCCCAAATGTCCCGCTTGTCCTGCTTTAGTGCCTGTAGCCATACTGCCTCTCACCCCACATCTGGGCCCCTTTGGCCCTATGACTAAAACTGTACCATTGCTCTGGTTTCTTATATGCTAAAGAAATGAATGAAAAATGTTTCTGCCCCCAGAGCTGCTGCTCAGACTGGCTTATCTCCCACTGAGAAGCTTAGCACACACCATGAGCACTGGGAAAAGGGTATGTGTCGTGTGTGGCTTAGGTGGTGGGAGAGCTGTATTCTCAGGTGTAATCACATGAAATACCACCGGCCAAGGTGGGGGAACTTTTTAAGACAGCTAGCTGCCTGAGTCAGAGGTGGGGTAATTTGAAGTTGTACACTTTAGGGTGGTGGGGTTTTTTTGTTTTTGTTTTTTTTAAAGCATGCATATTTCAGATTAAGTGATAACTAACTACCTACTCTCAAGTGTCACCTTCACAACGAGACCTACTCTAACCTCCTCCCCCCACACCCCAATTAAAACTTACTCCCTTCTGTGCCCTCAGTCCTCCTCCATAATGAAAAATTATGGACTGACTTTTTATTTCATAGTACTATATAATCTAGTTATTTTTCAGGCTTGTTGTCAAACTCCCTCATGAAACACAATCCCATGAGGGCAGGGTTTTCGCTGCTGTCTCCCCCGCACCGACAGTGATGCCCAGTTCACAGTCAAGCCCTTAAATATCTTTGTCTGAATGAGCGAATACTCAAACCTTCCTGGAAAATTCATTTGTGATTTCCCCTCTTCCATCTATCTTTGCCTATGAGGATTATGCCTTCAGAAACACAACGCATACATATTGTCCAAGTAATTTTTGTCTTTCTACTTGGTACTATATCACAGAGAGCTTTCCATATCAGTGTATGCAGATCTGCTTTATTCTTTTTCATACCTGCCAGGAGTTCCACTGGGTAGAAGTACTCTAACTGGTTTCATTACTCTCCTATCAAAGAAGGCTTTCCTAGTCTCTGGCATTGTAAACAAGCCTATAGAGTTAATGATGAATAGAATAGCCAGTACTTGAGCCTATGCATCAGGCATTGTTCTAAGTACTTTATAGGTACCTTAACCCCTCTAATCATGGTGACAGCCTTCTGAGACAGATATTATTGCCTTGTTACAGATTAGAAACCACAGCAGGTTACCTATTCTAGGTCACAAACCAGATGACCAAGCAG